ATCAAAAAACTAAAAATGTAAAAACCTTCTGCCGAAAACATAACAAAGTATTAACTTCACTTCAGCCAATGTTTGCCTTGTCCAGAAGCAAACAATAACAAATAATTAGAGACGGTGATTAGATACCACCACATTATGTACATGAGGGTATATCTTTCCATTACAAAGAATTCGGCATTGTACCGTTAGTTCGCAAAATAAATTTATCAACAGAATCAAAAGGGATTCATAACTTCAGGTTCTATGTATACATTTATAACCAGATTCTACGTATACATTTGTAACTAGGTTCTATGTATACATTTAAAACCAGGTTCTATGGTTACATTTGAAACCAGATTCCACCTATACATTTATAATCAGATTCTATGCATATATTTATCATCAGAGTCTATGTATACATTTATAACCAGATTCTTTGTATACATTTATAATCAGATTCTATGTATACATTTATAATCAGATTCTTTGTATACATTTATAACCAGATTCTATCTATACATTTATAACCAGATTCTTTATATACATTTATAACCAGATTCTATGTATACATGTATAACCAGATTATATGTATATATTTATAACCAGATTCTATGTATACATTTATAACCAGGTTCTATGTATACATTTATAACCAGATTCTATGTATACATTTATAACCAGATTCTTTATAGACATGTATAACCAGATTCTATGTATACATTTATAACCACGTTCTTTGTATACATTCATAACCAGATTCTATGTATACATTTATAACCAAATTCTATGTATACATTATAACAGATTCTTCGTATACATGTATAACCAGATTCTATGGTTACATTTGAAACCAGATTCTATGTATACATTTGAAACCAGATTCTATGTATATATTTATAACCAGGTTCTATGTATGCATTTATAACCAGGTTCTATGTATACATTTATAACCAGGTTCTATGTACACATTTATAACCAGATTCTATGTATACATCTTAAAACCATATTCTATGTTTTCATTTATAACCAGGTTCTATGTATAAATTTATAACAAGATTCTATGTTTACATTTATAACCTGTTTCTATATATACATTTACATTTATACATTTATAAGCATATTATTTCTATACATTTGAAACCAGATTCTATGTATACATTTATAACCGGATTCCATGGTTACATTTGAAACCAGATTCTATGTATACATTTATAACCAGGTTCTATGTATACATTTATAACCAGGTTCTATGTATACATTTATAACCTGTTTCTATGTATACATTTATAACCAGATTATTTCTATACATTTGAAACCAGATTCTATGTATACATTTATAACCAGATTATATGTATACATGTATAACCAGATTCTATGTATACAGGTATAACCGTAATCTATGTATACATGTATAACCAGATTCTTTGTATACATGTATAACCAGATTCAGTGTATACATTTATAACCTGTTTCTATATATACTTTTATAACCTGTTTCTATGTATACATTTATAACCAGATTATTTCTATACATTTGAAACCAGATTCTATGCATACATTTATAACCAGGTTCTATGTATACATTTATAACCATGTTCTATGTATACATTTATAACCAGATTCTATGTATACATTTATAACCAGGTTCTATGTATACATTCATAACCAGATTCTATGTATTCATTTATAACCTGATTCTGTGGTTACATTTATAACCAGGTTCTATGTATACATTTTAAAACCAGATTCTATGTATACATTTATAACCAGGTTCTATGTATAAATTTATGACCAGATTCTATGTTTACATTTATCACATGTTTCTATGTATACATTTATAACCATATTATTTCTATACATTTGAAACCAGATTCTATGTATACATTTATAACCGGATTCTATGCTTACATTTAAACCAGATTCTATGTTTAAGTTTATAACCAGATTCTATGTATACATTTATAACCGGATTCTATGGTTACATTTAAACCAGATTCTATGTATACATTTATAACCAGGTTCTATGTTTACATTTATTACCTGTTTCTATGTATACATTTATAACCAGATTATTTCTCTACATTTGAAACCAGATTCTATGTATACATTTATAACCGGATTCTATGCTTACATTTAAACCAGATTCTATGTTTAAGTTTATAACCAGATTCTATGTATACATTTATAACCAGATTCTATATATACATTCATATCCAGATTTTATGGTTACATTTGAAAGCAGATTCTATGTATACGTTTATTTCCAGATTCTATGGTTATATTTGAAACCAGATTCTATGTATACATTTAAAACCAGATTCTATGTATCCATGTCTAACCAGATTCTATGTATACATGTATAACCAGATTCTATGTATACATGTCTAACCAGATTCTATGTATACATGTATAACCAGATTCTTTGTATACATGTATAACCAGATTCTCTGTATACATTTATAACCTGTTTCTATGTATACTTTTATAACCTGTTTCTATGTTTACATTTATAACCAGATTCTATGTATAAATTTATAACCAGATTCTATGTATACATTTATAACCAGATTCTATGTTTACATTTATAACCAGATTCTATGTATTCATGTATAGCCTGATTCTGTGTATACATTTATAACCAGATTCTATGTATACATTTATAACCAGGCTCTATGTATAAATTTATAACCAGATTCTATGTTTACATTTATAACCTGTTTCTATTTTTACATTTATAACCAGATTATTTCTATACATTTGAAACCAGATTCTATGTATACATTTATAACCGGATTCTATGGTTACTTTTCAACCAGATTCTATGTATACATTTATAACCAGGTTCTATGTATACATTTCATTTATAACCTGTTTCTATGTATATATTTATAACCAGATTATTTCTATACATTTAAAAGCAGATTCTATGTATACATTTATAACCAGGTTTTATGTATACATTTATAACAAGGTTCTATGTATACATTTATAATCAGATTCTATGTTAAAATTTATAACCAGATTTTATGTATTCATGTATAACCTGATTCTGTGGTTACATTTATAACCAGATTTATGTTTACATTTTAAAACCAGATTCTATGTATACATTTATAACCAGGTTCTATGTATAAATTTATAACCAGATTCTATGGTTACATTTAAACCAGATTCCATGTATACATTTAAAACCAGATTCTATGTATACATTTAAAACCAGATTCTATGTATACATTTAAAACCAGATTCTAAGTTGACATGTATACCCAGATTCTCTGTATCCATTTATAACCAGATTTTATGCCTACATTTATAACCAAATTCTATGCAAACATTTATAACCAAATTCTATGCATACATTTAAAACCAAATTCTATGTATACATTTATAACCTAATTCTATGAATACATTTCAAACCAGATTCTATGTATACATAAATAACAAAATTCTATGCATACATTTATAACCAAATTATATGCATACATTTATAACCAGATTCTATGCCTACATTTATAACCAAATTATATGCATACATTTATTACCAAATTCTATGCATACATTTTAAACCAAATTCTTTGTATACATTGATAACCAAATTCTATGAATACATTTATAACCAAATTCTATGTATACATAAATAACAAAATTCTATGCATACACTTATAACCAAATTCTATGCATACATTTATAACCAAATTATATGCCTACGTATATAACCAAATTCTATGGATACATTTATAACCATATTCTATGTATACATTAATAACCAAATTCTATGCATACATAAATAACCAAATTCTATGCATACATTTATAACCAAATTCTATGTATATATTTATAACCAAATTCAATGCATACATTTATAACCAAATTCTATGCATACATTTATAACCAAATTCTATGCATACATTTATAACCAAATTCTATGCATACATTTATAATCAGAAATAGGCTCGAACCTATGTGTACTTCTCGCTATTGGAATCTCTCATGAAAGCACAGTCGACTCTATCTGAAAGCATAACTTTACGAATCACTATCAAATGGTAATGGTACCAGGTTTTTGCGAAAATGTGACCGTGTCCTGTCCCCTCGGTAGCACCCGTCACAAACACATGCAAAGGCAAGTCAAGTGTTCACTGAACAAACACGGTAACATATGGTTAAAGTAGGGGATTGTATCGGACATTATTTTGGTCACTCATGAGTCAAATTTGGAAATGTCCACATGTCCACCATAAAACATTTTGAAAGCTTTACTAAGGCCTCGAATGCTTGAATGAATTTACCTGTAATTACCAATGTTCAGTGTATTCAGTATTTGATCACATGACACGGCATAAGTATCATGTTTACAAGACATACTGTACGTAATGAAATTGTTTTCACCACCTGGTAGACGGTCCGACACAATACAACAAGCGCCATAAGGCGTGTGCATATGCCCAAACATCTCACCAGCTCAAACTCGAAGCATTGTTTTCCAGCATCATTATTAGCGTTTCTGCATGACCACATACATACTATGAGCTCTTTTACAGTCACCTCCGAGTGTCTTTAACTCTTAACCTTGAGTGTTCATTCTTACGCCTCAATAGGACATTGTTATGCCATTGTTAGGAGTTTATTCTTGTTAAAGTACTTTAGAAGTCCCCTATCTGAAATCGTTATGAGTACGCAGGGATATTGAATACATTGCCAATACAGAACCATGTACGTTCAATGAGAAGCCGGCCTCGCTCGACCGCCATTGTTACAATATTGACCACATTGTTCTACCATTAAATATATCCAGAATTCAAGGACCCGGCCATATCACCCCAATAGTCAGTGTGGTGCTGTAGAGTAGAATTGCAATCAGGCGATTCCAGGGCGCAAGGCACCTCTCTTAGAATACGGCTCGAGCGGAGACTGGTGCGTTTTGGTATTGAAATTCTTCACATAATAGCTCTGGGCGATCTCGCTGGCAGCTGACAAGCAAGGTGTTGAAGATATTGACTGGACACGTTTTGTTGTAGGTTGGCCGGAGTTCGCAGTGATCAACTGGTCAACAAGTAGGTTGTCTGTAACTGCTGGATGTAGATGTTGGGAAAGTTACCATTCTCGGTGTATGGAGACACTGCGGTGAACTAGGTAAGTGATTTGTTAAACTTGTACAAATTAGCATGCGCATTGGATATACATGTTTTTTACAGGCTAAAGGTTCATGGGTTTATGAGACACAAAGGAAACCTTACTTTGATATCGTTGTTGGTTTACACTGAAATATTACGGTGTTTTAAAACAATATTACGTTTTTTTATATGGATAAAATACCTCTTTGAAGGCAGAGATATGACATTCTTGTCTATAAATGAACAATGAACAATGACCGATGTGCAATACAAGTTAGACGCCTTGCGTTTCATGAGTCATTATTTCAAGCTCGGTGGTGTGAAGAGGGGACGGCGATTTAGATGTGCGGGTGTGTGAAGGGGTGTGGGGTGGGTGTGGGGTGGGTGTGGGTCTGATCTTTCAGAAACAAAACGGGTCCGAAAATAAACTATGAGTATCGCCAGTAAACAGAACCTCTTCAGGCATTATGGATACCAAAAACAACGGCTTGTCCAGGTGAAAATACAACAACTTTCATACCTTGAAAACATAAGTGTCTCTGGCCTCTACCCCCTTCTGAACCTGAAACGCTATGATCTAACCAATATCCATGTGATTAACTCCGGATGTCCGTTGTCACTTGGGTGTTGAGAAGGAATTTAAAAGTTACTGTTGTGTCTCTGAAGTGTGTTTGATTTCTAATGGGGCATCATTTGATGTCATAATTCCATTAGGAAACAGGATTCGTTTGATGTCACTCTTGCACACTATCGCGCACCTAATGAAGCATAAACACTGTAGTACCGGCTGGCGTGATTATGACTTCTGAATACCTGGTTCACATATACAGATATTGTCAGTGCCTGCAGCGTCAGAGAAGCGTTATCAAATACAGGAGACATAGCGATTTAGCGAAACACGCGAATGTTATTAGGGAAACTGACGCTGCCTGTATATCTTCACGTATTTAGCGCTCTGGCGTCCATTTTTTCAAGTCTTCAATCATCTAGCTTTTCATAATCAAATTACTGTCTACACGATCAGATCCAGTCATTCGGAGTTGAATGATCGTCAGTGCTTTTCCTTGTCCATTGTTCTTGTAATACGTGTATGCGTTGTCAAAATAACCATACTTTAGCATATAATAAAGTACGCAACGGTACCAGACTGCCGCACATCTGGCTTCACCCATTATAGGGACAAGATTTATGGGTACTCTTTCATCAGTCTGGAACTGCTATCTGTTGGTGTATCATCATTTGAATTTTACAGAACCTGGCTGAAATTGACATGGCAGTTGTTGATTTCACTTATCGCGTGGCGGGGAATGAGGTTGTGTATATCAGTAGGATATACGTTGTGCTTTCGACTCGACTTCTGGCGGGGAACTACTGTAAATGTTTATATGAAAGGCTTTTAAAGCAGTGATATTCAGCTGGTCCAAACATCCGTGTATGTTTTGAATATGAAATATAAATCTGTCGAGATAATGTTATATGTTTTATCCAAAACAAATCTAAAATGGTAAATATAGAAGTATATGTATCAGTGAGCGAATCAATATAATTATGTGTCTGGTTCAACAATTTATACTTACTTTTCAGACCGGCAGGGTCTTCTTATCTTGCGATAAAAATAGGAACATTTTGGGATATGCTGACTTAGCCGTATTCCAATCAGAGAGGGGTGGTTAAGAAATGAAAATCCCTAGAGGGCAGCGAGGGCATAAGACTTCTTGTTTAGAACTCAAGGTGAGCTGGAAAAACGTAATTACTGGAGGTAAGACTATATATGAACAGTGTGTAGGCTGCATACATGCAGTCGTGGAAAGACTCTCAGGGCTGCAGACTAGGTCTTGCGTGCTTCGTCAAACAGTGTTTTAATATTTTATCTTTCGGCGTTTGACGAAAACAAGGATTTATCAACTGGTTCTTGGTTGTTGTTGAAAAGAGGGGAACTATAGTTGATGTTAATTCACGAATAAGTCATGAAAGAGTGAGCGAATACTGTTTTAAGGAGCAGGAAGAACTATTCCGCCGATGACCGAGGCCTGCAGATAATCGAGAGTCAGTCTGGGAGACCAGTGCGCATAGCAAGAGCTTTGGTGAGCCTGGGAAACCAGTGCGGGCTAGCATGAGGTTTAGTGAGCCTGGGAAACCAGTGCGTGCTAGCATGAGCTTTAGTGAGTCTGGGAAACCAGTGCGTGCTAGCATGAGCTTTTGTGAGCCTGGGAAACCAGTACGTGCTAGCATGAGCTTTAGTGAGCCTGGGAAACCAGTGCGTGCTAGCATGAGCTTTAGTGAGCCTGGGAAACCAGTGCGTGCTAGCATGAGCTTTATTGAGCCTGGGAAACCAGTGCGTGATAGCATGACCTTTATTGAGTCTGGGAAACCAGTGCGTGCTAGCATGAGCTTTATTGAGCCTGGGAAACCAGTGCGTGCTAGCATGAGCTTTATTGAGCCTGGAAAACCAGTGCGTGAAAGCATGAGCATTAGTGAGCATGGGAAACCAGTGCGTGCTAGCATGAGCTTTAGTGAGCCTGGGAAACCAGTGCGTGCTAGCATGAGCTTTAGTGAGCCTGGGAAACCAGTGCGTGATAGCATGAGCTTTAGTGAGCCTGGGAAACCAGTGCGTGATAGCATGAGCTTTATTGAGCCTGGGAAACCAGTGCGTGATAGCATGAGCTTTATTGAGTCTGGGAAACCAGTGCGTGCTAGCATGAGCTTTAGTGAGCCTGGGAAACCAGTGCGTGATAGCATGAGCTTTATTGAGCCTGGAAAACCAGTGCGTGAAAGCATGAGCATTAGTGGGCATGGGAAACCAGTGCGTGATAGCATGAGCTTTAGTGAGCCTGGGAAACCAGTGCGTGCTAGCATGAGCTTTATTGAGCCTGGGAAACCAGTGCGTGATAGCATGAGCTTTAGTGAGCCTGGGAAACCAGTGCGTGATAGCATGAGCTTTAGTGAGCCTGGGAAACCAGTGCGTGCTAGCATGAGCTTTAGTGAGCCTGGGAAACCAGTGCGTGCTAGCATGAGCTTTATTGAGCCTGGGAAACCAGTGCTTGATAGCATGAGCTTTATTGAGCCTGAGAAACCAGTGCGTGCTAGCATGAGCTTTATTAAGCCTGGGAAACCAGTGCGGGCTAGCATGAGCTTTAGTGAGTCTGGGAAACCAGTGCGTGCTAGCATGAGCTTTATTGAGCCTGGGAAACCAGTGCGTGATAGCATGAGCTTTATTGAGCCCTGGAAACCAGTGCGTGCTAGCATGAGCTTTAGTGAGCCTGGGAAACCAGTGCGTGCTAGCATGAGCTTTAGTGAGCCTGGGAAACCAGTGCGTGCTAGCATGAGCTTTAGTGAGCCTGGGAAACCAGTGCGTGAAAGCATGAGCTTTAGTGAGCCTGGGAAACCAGTGCGTGCTAGCATGAGCTTTATTGAGCCTGGGAAACCAGTGCGTGCTAGCATGAGCTTTATTAAGCCTGGGAAACCAGTGCGGGCTAGCATGAGCTTTAGTGAGCCTGGGAAACCAGTGCGTGATAGCATGAGCTTTATTGAGCCTGGGAAACCAGTGCGTGATAGCATGAGCTTTATTGAGCCTTGGAAACCAGTGCGTGCTAGCATGAGCTTTAGTGAGCCTGGGAAACCAGTGCGTGCTAGCATGAGCTTTAGTGAGCCTGGGAAACCAGTGCGTGCTAGCATGAGCTTTATTGAGCCTGGGAAACCAGTGCGTGCTAGCATGAGCTTTAGTGAGCCTGGGAAACCAGTGCGTGCTAGCATGAGCTTTAGTGAGCCTGGGAAACCAGTGCGTGCTAGCATGAGCTTTAGTGAGCCTGGGAAACCAGTGCATGATAGCATGAGCTTTATTGAGCCTGAGAAACCAGTGCGTGATAGCATGAGCTTTATTGAGCCTGGAAAACCAGTGCTTGATAGCATGGGCGTGATAGAATGAGCTAGAGCTGAAACACTATGAGCCTTGACCCCGTTCCACAAAGCGAACTTGGCGCTACGGTTGTCGTATAGAATATAGGAGTTACGATCGTCTAAGCGCTAAACGCTTTGTGAGGCTGGTCTCCAGTCATACATCGTGACCATCCGATCCTCACTACAGTCGGTCTTAAAATAAGACTAGCATCGTTCTCTTCGTAACCCCCATAGGGGCGTTATCAGAGAAAATGTGAAAATATGCAAGGGGAGTGAATAAGAATGGGATTTAACGCACCTTTGAAATTTCTTTTTGTAATATCACGCTTTTATGAAGGATTACGCTGGCAGTAATGTGACTACTTTAGCTTATCGGATCCTACTTACAGAATAGGGACAATCTGTTAGGTGTGTTTGCAGCGAAGTTTTTTTTATAATACATACAATAAATACATCTATCTTAATACAGTTGGACGCCGTAGCCACGTGTGTATATTTCGTTAACCACTGAATGATCTCTGGGGCGAGAATATATGTTCATGACGAAAATGTTATTAACATTTTTGGGGCGTTCTAGTTTCAATTTCTTTTCCTCCTTGAAGCCCTAGCCTGAATATATGCATGTTAATTCTGTTTTGCTGCCATGGCTATTGAAGCAACCGATGAGAACATTCACTATGTCGATTTTACTTAGATTATGTCGCAGTTTGATTGACGATGTGTGTAATCCGATTACGGATTTATAAAAGTACTAAATTTGGGTTGTAGTAATTCCGAGAGACACGTGAGACCAACGTGGCCGCACATTGTCATTCGATTTGATGCTACTCACTGTATGGTATCTGCTAATAGTTGGAGCACATTTATTACAGGCCTAATCTCTTCGTTAGACACTTATTCGTTGCAACATCGGAAGTGGTATATTCGTAAATGATTAATCGTTGCGAAATCTAATGCTTGGACTCAGATTCGCCGAACAACCCATTTGTACTGATGAGTAGATTTAAGTAATGGTGTCCCGTGAATTACTAAACTTGAGCAATCTCTTGTTAAAATTAAAAAATTGTATGAATGGCCGACATCGCCTTGGGAAGTTATTTTGATTCAGTATTTTACTTCGGATAAATAATGTTTCCGGAGATTTCCAATGCTTTCGGAACACACCAGTGAGAAATATCTTCTTAACTTAACTAGACTCCATCTAGGGAATAACGTGATTATCCTGTTGCGCGAGATACTATTATAAAATTCCGATGGTGTAATTAGTATTTCGACGGTAAACGCTCATTTAGATATTTCTGTGCAGATGTTGTTGTCGATGTGTTTTTATGTGCCGTATATTCGTCTCTTACCGTAAAAGGCGACTAACGGGATTTGGTGGTTGGGCTTGCTGACTTGATTGGTGTATGTCATCGTATCCCAACAGCGTGGAACCGTTGATTATGATGTCAAGCACTGGATTTTCTGGTCCACACTCGATTATTTACGGACCGCCTCATACAGCTTGAATATTGCAGAGTGTATGTCTTTTTTACACTTAAGACACTGGTTATTACTGTATACAAACTGAAAAAGGTGACAGAACGATTAGGGATGATAAATAGAATTTCACCCTCGTGTCTTTCAAGTTCAAATCCATCAATACTCGTTGATAAATGTGAAGATATCCTCTGCAAGCAAAGAATATTTTTATCAACACGTCTTGATATATTTGGCCTCGGAAGAGACTCGGAAGAGACTCGGAAGAGATTCTCTGTCTATTTGTTTCTAAATAGCTTTGAAATAGACGAGGACCCATACAAAGTTATCAGTTGAGAAATAGCTGATCACGTGATGCAGAAGGGATTTCCTATCGCAATCGCGAATCCTTCAGACGGATTTGTTTGTCTATCGTGGCCGCGTTCGTTCAGTTCATGCGGTCACCAGCCGTGGTCGCGAAACCAATGTAGAAAGGAACGCAACATTCTCATTAATTACAAACTTTGCTTTGATGCATGTAATGGATTCATTCCTTCTACTCCCCGCTAGTATTCCAGTTAGCGAGTCAGACTTGTTGACAGGAAATTTCTATCGGAAACCTTTACTCAGAATAGAAGTGATCCTCAAACCCTGAACTCGGATCGAAGTAGGTACACGACGTAGCCCTGGGGGCATAATACCGCGGGAACAATTCCTTTAGCGTATTCAGTTTTCACGACGATTCAGACCTAATGTGGACACTTGAGTTACCTCTCCTTGACATTATCTCCCTTTTCTTATGACACGTTATGGAGGAGTACGTGAGTTTGGTTTAACACTGCTTTGTATCACAATAACCTGGTGGGGAAGTGATGGAGGTCGCAGACGTTTACCAGCACGGGTATGGTGCTGATGAACCAAGGATCATAAGCAGAGCGAATCTGGAATAGGCTTTGGGTATGGGTTCAGGATGCAATTCTCCATGACAAGGAAGACACAATTTTTTTGATAGCAACTTCTTTAATACTGTAAAAAGCGACGTTTCGGTATAGATTCTTATACCATTGTCTTACTTACTTACTTACTTTGGAGATTTAACGTGCGCTTTCCGACTGATGCGTATTTCGCACACGGGCCCGGCCAGGCCATTTAATGTGTTTCCGAAAGGGGCGAAAGTGGTCTGTGCAACCCAAGAGGGGGGTTTTAGGGGTTGCTTATATAGAATTCGGGAATTTTGAGATTTAGAATAGATGCCGATGGGATTGGGGAGGAGAACTAAGGGAGCTGGGTATGGTGGATGTTTGTTTGTTTATGTGATTTTGATTGGGTAGGTTATTGTGTTTTTAGATGCGTTTTATTAGTTCCGTTTTTATTAAGAATACGCCTAAGGCCTTGAAGTTTTCTAGTTTATTTTGTGGGTTTAGTATTGCTTCTAGTGTTAGAGCCTTGTTTAGATTGAGGGTGGTTTGTAATGCGGTTCGATGTGTTAGGTAGTGTGTGCAGTGGATGAGTGCGTGTTCTGGGATTTCTGGTTGTTTGCAGTGTGGGCAGTTACCTGTAGTGTGTTTTTTAATTTTTTTTAGGTGGTTATTTAGGTTGGTGTGTCCTGTTTGGAGTTTAGTGATTACTCTGTCGATTTTTTTGGATGGATGGAGAATTTTTGGTTTGGTTAGTGGTTTGCTGAGCACTTTTTTGATTTGGCTATTTGAGTTTAGATATAGGTTATGCCATTTGTTGGTGATTTTTTGCTTGTTTACACTTTTAATTTCTGATTTTGAGATGGGTAAGTTTAAGCTTATTTCTGGGATTTTGAGGGATAGTTGAGCTGCTTTATCGGCGTTTTCATTACCGTATATTCCTACGTGGGCGGGTATCCACAAGAAGGTTATTTGTTTGCCTGCCTTAGTTAGGTCGTTGGAGCTTTTAAGTATTTGATTTAATAATTTAGGTCGGTTTTTATACCATTGTCAAGCAGAACTGAATATATATAGTAGAAGGATGATTAACGGTGGAGGATTAACAGTAACAACAATTGCACACATGAGTGGGATTAACAGTATCAACAATTGCATACATGAGTGGGATAACATGGGTAAGTGTTGTCACAACTCGATGGACAGAGAACACATAGGTGGAAGCCAACAGGGACATGAAGCCAATTAAACAGGATAAGGCATTATTGCTTGATGAGTTAATAGTAGGCGGATGGGATGAAATAGCCTTGATCTCTGTTGATCGATGGCTTGTGGCGGCGAATGTGGACTGCTTCTGTTTTCTTTAAGTGAAATCATGGAGGTTGTTGGAGAGGATTTGGATGTTGTCCTGTTGTCAACACTTACCCATGTTATCCCACTCATGTAGGCAATTGTTGTTACTGTTAATCCCACTCGTGTATGCAATTGTTGTTACTGTTAATCCTCTACCGTTATCCATAACAACATCCTTATCCAACATAAACAGGAAATTCTTTGAAGACTTTAATATAGTTTGCAAGAAAAGGATACATTAGGTTCTACAATGCGAGGCACCTGTATTTTCCGCAGTAAAACAGGTGTTTGATTTATTTTGTTTCAAATTAAAACAACCCTCCAACACCCCATCCCACCGTAAAAATTCTATTACTCTCAACACTTGATTCACAACTTTTCGGAAAGACAAAAGGCGTGGTTTCCGGATGAGCGGGTTCCGGAGTAACGAGGTTTCGCTGTATACATGTAGGTAGTCACAAACTTCAACAGAAGTTGGACAAGCTGAAATCGAAGCAGATTAAGTCATTGCAGCTGAGCAAGTAGTCCGCCTAACTGTGATGAACAGCTGCAGCGACTGGGTCATTTCTTCTTGAGCATTAATTTTGCAAGCTTTTTCATAATTTAATGGAAAACATATCATAAATTCATTCTCCAAATTGGATATAATCATTTATAAAGCAATATTGTACCATTATCTCGTCGTGCCATTTCGTTTCCCACTTAATCTTAAAATAATCTGAGAACACGTATCAGTAGAGAACATTAATGGCTGTTTTTTCTCGTACGGTATCGTGCTCAATAGCGTTCAAGTCCATGACCATTTTTTTATTGGACCCTGTTCCATTTAGTTCCGTGCGTGTATTATATACGAGGGGTGGCAGAAACGTACTGAGCCTAAGTATGATAGACTGCTTCATGGAGTCGGTTGGTAATTATTTTTCAACATAATCCCACTTCTGCCAACGAGTGTCTGGGCTGGATCCCACTGGTGTAGAAGACTTTCTGGTGGTGTAAAGGGTCCTCCACAGCAGAAATGACGTCAACGTCATTTGCTTGCAAGACAGATTTTTCAAGTTTGGATAGAGGTGGAAATATGATGGTGCCAAATCTCTGAATACGGAGGATGTTCAACGCGTTCAAAGCCACAGTCATGCTTTGCAGCGGCAACTGGCTTGTGCAAATGTGTACGTGCTGTCCTGGTGGAAGAACACACCTTCAGTGACCTTTAGTCTTGATATTCTCACGCAGGTACTGATAATATTGACGCTAATATTGACCATTAATGGTCTCAACCTTCAGGAGGTAGTCCAACAGTAGGACA